GGTCACAGCAGTAGCCTAAAGGCTGTAGGTTGGATATCTCAGCAATCAGCCCTCAAGAAAAGAGGCACCAAACCAAAGCCCACTCCCTGACAGGTTTGCCTGGCCATTTCAGGAGTAGCTGCTCTGAGCAGGAGAAGGAAAAGACCTTCCCCAATGCCTGGCAGAGCACCTTTCTCTGTGCTCTGGCACAGGTCTGCAGCACAACCCAATGACGCCATTCCCTTCTTCTCTTGGAAGGGCCTCTCTAGATAGTAGAGGATGATGCACATGTCCATCCTCCTCTTACTGGCCATGAGAGCCTCTAGCAAGACTTCACCAAGCCAAGTGACAGCTCTGTGTCTTTTACACACCTACTTCTTCCCTGGGGATGACTTACAGCACAAAGTATTCCACAACAGCTCCGAGTGGAGCACACCCATCCATGCACCTCCGTGGCTGCTCAGGGACAGGGAGCTGCCTTGGGATGAGAGGGATGGAAACCCACAGGCTTCCTCCTCCCAGCCAGGGAGCCTCCCTGCCGCCTACCTGACTCCAGCCCAGAAAGACAAGCTGCATCTCTGACAGCTCCGCGCCGCTCCGGGGAAGGGATAAGCACTCACACCCCGTTTGTCACACTTGGAAGCAAATCAGACAGACAGAACTCCACTCCACTTGTCCTCCCATTTTGTTAAACAAGGGATGGGAGGCCGTGGCACGTCTCCCTGCCAAGGAAAGCAGCGAGCAGTTTTTCAGCGGAGCGCGGGCGGGGGGAGCGGCTCAGCGCAGCGACAGAGACACAAACCCAGCTCGTGATTAGTTATTGACTCCAGAGGAGTTGCAGCTCTAGCAGCAAGCCAGCCAGGAGAGCAAAAATCCCTCTTTTGTTCCCCAGCCTCAGACAGACTTGGCCACACAGCTGCCTGCTGTCTCGCTTCACACAGTGAGAAAAGAAAGTTAATCCAGCTCCCCTCCAGCAGGAGCCATCCAGCCTGGGGGAGTGATGCTGCAGAGTCATCCCTGAGCTTCATCCTGGCACCCACCACTGCTGGTGGATACCAGACAGCTCAAGGACCTCGTGGGACATTGCCAGGATCAGCAGGGACAGTGCCCTCCAAACTCTGAGGCCTAGCTCAGCTCTCCCCACAGTGCCCCCCAAAGCAGGACCAGCCATGGGGTCCCTGCTGCCCCCATGGTGAGTAGGTGACCCAGGGATCCCTGCTGCCCACACATGGATTTCCAACCCTCCTTTACAGGAGAGAGCCAGACCCCTGTGCAGGGACTGAATCCACCTTTTCCCAAGCTACAGCCTTCCTGCAGGAACAATGCTTTCCACTGTACCAGAGGTCAAGTAGTAGGAGAATCATGGCCAACAAAGTCCTTTGGTGTCATCCCTTCCCCTCAGGAAGGGCACAGGTCACACACATGTCAGAACCACCAAACCCAAATTTCTCCCTGCTGCCCTTCTAGGCAACAGAAATTACCTTTTAGTTTGGACACCTGACCCAGGATTTCAGAGCCCTGCTCTTCATCCCCCTTCACCACCAGCATTCTCTGTCCTCTATATGAGAAGTGAGAATATTTACTACATTTAAGATCAGAGAAGAAAATTATGATTCATAGGCTCTCCGCTCTGTGGAAATGGGAATTATGTATCTGTATTTCTAGAGCATGAACAAACATGAGTACTTGTGTCTATAGCTTTGTAGATCAAGGGAGTGATTTTAAAGTCAACTCATCCCTGCATAAACCTGGACAGCCAAATAACAGAGTGGGGAATAGCAAAGTGCTGAAATCTGCACTTGCTGTTTCTTTGCTCTTGGTGACCTGGCAGAGAGGGCTGTTATTTTAACATTATGCTGGTTGAAGCCTCACTGAACGGCAGGCGGGACCAAAATAATCCACATGGCCCCTGGAAGCCACAGAGTTGAGAGGAAAGTGCTCCAGCATCTCCAGGCAGCACAAGCCTTTGTTCCCACATGCTCCTGCCAGCAACCAGGACTGCCTGCCCTGCTCCAAGTGAACTGGCTTCCCTCCTCCTTCCCCACAAATTAACTCCATCTCCAGCTGTCCCTGCACAAGCTTCCTGTAAGATTAATTATTCTTTGTACACACATGTTTGATGATTTACCCAGCAAACCAGGCACAATGATAAGGAATTCTCCATTTCCATCAGCGCTCTCCCCTGAGGCTCAGAAGTTTTCTGGGCAGGTCCTTCACCCTGGCACAGGCACAGGAAGAAGTGTGACTCCTCAGAAGGCCCACGTGGGCCACCAGGACCAGTCAGTGTTTGTGATGCTGCTGCAAGGTCAGCTGAAGAAGATGTGCTTCTGAAGAGCCCTCACTGCCAGTCAGCAGGGCTGGCACTGACGCCAGTCTGAGTGGGAACATGAATGATCCCAAAAGGTGTGTCCCCAGCCACGCTGCCCCATGACCCAGGATTTCTCCTGTGTTTAGCAAGGCACAGCGAGCTGTGTTTGTTTGCACTGTCACCTTTCAGAAGGTGTAATTTACAAGAGCCAGAAGTTACCGTGTGAGGAGTCACCTAAGGCTGGTTCCGGCTGTGATCTCACACACCAAGCACCGAGGAGTCACCGCGCCGGGTTCGCCTGGTCAGGAAATGGAAAGCACCAAATTCAAATTGTGGGGCTGTGGGCCAGACCTGCCAGGGGTGAGGACTAAACTCCTGGAAGCAGTTTATTAGCCTGGAAAGTCACAGTTGGCCACAGAAGGTGTGTGGGGGGGTATATATACAATGTAAAATGAGTTGGTGCCACCCAGCTCTCCCCACAGCCCAGCAGGAAGCCAGACCCTGTCAGGCTGTCTGATCCCTCCTGTGCTGAGCCCACAGAGCTCAACAGGACTCACAAGTCCCTTTAAGATCTCTTACAGCAGATAGGCACCTGCTGGAACACCAAAAGGATGTTTCAGCAGCTACATGAGCCTCTTCCTCTGAGGGTGAGACATTTCCTTCATCCAGAAAGGAGAGGGTGCCCAAGAGATCAAGTGTGGAGGGTTTAAGCACCAGAGACCATGAGATACACAGCAGGAGGGAGAACACACAACAAAGAGTCACTTTGTGCTTGGCAGAAGTTGGTTTCACATCCAAATGTGACTTAACTGGGTGAGTTCTGACACGAGTAATGGAAAGTTTCTACCCCAACTCATGAAGCCACTGTACAGGAAACAGCCTAGAAGAGCTGCTCAGAGACCTAAGCACAACAGAAACATCAACCACATGGAGCCCACCTCAGATTTTGGCTGGATGCTCCTGACAGCTTTCCTAGAGCTCAGCTACCCCAGCTCTTACCAAAATCCCTGCACTAGCCCCAAACACCAGATCCCACAGCAAAACCCCTCATGAGTTCAGGACCTGCACTTAACAGCAGACCCTGATGCATCTCAGAATCGAAGCAATAAGGAAGCAGAAGGAATGTCTAGAACACCAATACACTTTTCTCCTTCCCTACAACACCACCAGGAAGCAGAGGAGAGCTGGTGTAGAGCAGAACCTGGCAGGTCCTCTCCAAATGGGAGTTGTAGAGGCAGCAGCAAGTAACTTTGGCCAGCTGGCAGCACAAGGGGCCAGCACACCAAACTCCTGTCCCTCCCAAGAAGCACCTTCAGGAATGGGTGGAAGGCAATGGGATGGGCTGAGGAGGGAAGTCAGCCAGACTTCATTAAAACATCTTTGCTGGAAGTGCATCTGGGAGTACTCTCCACTGAGATAAACGCTGGATCTGCAACTGTTTTGCTCTGACAGGAGTTAAACAGGCTACAAGTTTACACATGTCCTAGATACTTTTTTTTTTCCACCAGGAGCTTCCAAAAGCTATTGCAGACAACTGGGAGAGGTGCTCTCAAAAGCAAGGCACAGGCAAGCATAGGCACCATCATACAGGCTGACAGCTCTTGAACAGAGACTTCGCATTTTACATTACTCGGTCTTTTTTTCCCCCTCCAATAATTTGTTACAAAGGAAGCAGCATGCACACACAAGAAGCAAGCAAGACCTCAGGGAAAACAGCAAATTGGTTCACATTTCCACAGCGCTGAGCACAAAGCTGACTTGCAAATGCGAATGACTTCTCCCAGGCGGGGGAGGAAGCTCCCAGTTTGGATGATCCGAGCCCAGCCGCTCATTTCCCTGCAGCCCATCCCCATCCCCGTGCCCTGACGGACTGCACCAGCCACGAGCATGGCCCGAGCCTCGCGTGGAGCAACAACAACAACCCCACAGCCCAACACGTCCTGCTCCAGACCACTGCTGCCCAGCGGGCACTCTCAGCACCTCGTACACACCGCGGGCATCTCCCACACCAGCAGAGCCACAACTCCAACGCCCGAGTTCATTGGAGATGTTACAGCACGGCTGCTCGCTGCGGACGGTGCCTGCGAGCCTGGGTGGGCGCCGCTCCTGCCAGGACACAGCAGCGCCCATGTCCCCTCTCCTGCCCGGGCAGGGCTGCTGCCCACCGGGACACGGCATCGCCCACCGGGACACGGCACATCGCCCACCTCCTGCCATCCCCCTGCCCTAACACATTCGGGCTCCGTCCGACCCAGGGGCACCAAGCTCGGGGTTCGGGCGATGCCGGCAGCCCTGGGAAGCCGCAGGACTCGGGGAAAGCAGAACGAGACGGGCGAGCCCCTCCACCACCTCCCGCTGCCACCCTGGGCACCCGCCAGCTCCGGAGGCTGCTGTGGCTCAGCCCCGCGCTGGGCTGTTTTGGGAAGGGGGCTGGGAGGATGTTTCCTTATTTATGGGACAGGAGCAAAAAGTAAGAGGAGGAAGCGAAGGAGGAAATAATCCAGCAGGTTGCTCCCATCGGCCCCTCCCGGCCGCCGCATGGCAGCGGGGGCAGCAGCGATGGGGCAGCCCCGGAGCCGCCGGTCCCCAGAGCCGGGGAAGGGAGCCCGGCCGCTCCCCGGGGCGCTCGGCGGGCCAGGGCAGCCCGGGAACCCCTCCCCGGGATATCCGCCCCGCCGTGCGGCCCCGCGGGCACGGCAGGCCGCGGGCTCACCTCGGTACTGCAGCGAGCCCGAGAGCCGCACGGTGACGGTGCCGGCCAGCGGCTCGCCGGGGCTGTAGACGACGCGGCTATCGCCCAGGCGGATCTCGAAGAGCTGCACCTTCCCCATGGCCGCGCCGGCCCGGCCGCTCTCCTCCGCTCCGCTCGTACCTGCGGCCCGCGCTGTGCCTGCCCCGGCGGGCGGGACCGCCCCGCGCCCGCCCTGCGCCCGCCCCGCCCCGGCCGCGCTGAGGGAGCGGGGCGGGCCCGAGGCGGCGGCGGCGGCCGGGCCGGGGGCTGCGGGTGGGTCCCTGAGTGCCGAGGGAAGGGGGCAATTGTGCGGCCAGGCTGAGGAAAAGGAGCAGGCTGTGGGGCTGGCTGTGAGGGAAGGGGTAGCTGATAGATCCCTGACTGCTTTGAGGGAAAAAGCAGTTTGTGAGGGAAGGAACCACTGGTGGGGTCAGGCTGTAAGGGAAGGAGCAGGTTGTGGGGCTGGGCTGTGAGGGAGGGGGTAGCTGATGGATCCCTCACTGCTGTAGGGTCAGGCGATGAAGTAAAGGGAAAGCTGGTGTATCCCTGATTACTATAAGGGAAGGAGCTGTGGAGGAAAGGGCAGCTTCAGGGCTTGGGCTGTGCTGGGAGGGAAGGGATTGCTTGTGGGCTCAGGCTGGGAGGGAAGGAGCTGAGCTATGAGGGAAAGAGAAGCTGGTGGATCCTTGACTGCTTTGAGGGAAGGAGCAGGTTGTGAGGGAAGGAATCACTTGTGGGGTCAGGCTGTGAGGGAAGGAACCGCTTGTGGGCTCAGGTTCTGAGAGAAAGGAGCTGTTGTGGGGTGAGGCTGTGAGAGAAAGGACTGGTTGTGGGGTTGGGCTGCGAGGGAAGGAGCTGACTGCCCAGCATGGGGCCATCTTGCCTGCCAGTGATCCTTGCTCCCTCTAATCTCATTTCCTTTCTGTAATTCTCCAGGCCCAGCTGTCACCTCTCCCTGCTCCTGTTTTTATAACCCCAGTGCTTTAAGTGTCAGTAAGAGGCAAGTACAAGGGACCTGACAGCAACCTGGGACTGAGGAGTCAGTGATGACCCCACGGTCTCTGTGGATCTGTGGGTGAAGGTCAGAGTGTCCCAGGAAGCCAGCAGTAACCCGCACACTTCATACCTTTGCCATGTTCCTCCCTCATCTCTGCCTGATTGAATAAAAACCATCTGTAAAACCCACACCAAAGGCAGCGCCGGGAAAAGGCACCTCCCGGCCGCTGGCGAGCAGGCTGTGTACACAGGCAGAATGAATAAGTGCAAAAGGAGCTGTTTATCTGCAGAGCACACCCAGCCCGGACCTGGCTGGACAGACAGACATCCTCCCACGGCCCCACAGTGACACCAGCCTGGGTATGTGGGGCTGTGGCAGCCTGAAATCCCTCACACGGCACCAAAGGAGTTTGTGTGCCCCGGGCACACAGGGCTCCTGCTGGGAAACCTTTCCAGGCCCTCCCTCCTCCTGTGCTTAGGAGCTACCTCTGTTTCCAGGCTGCTGCGTGTAGTCACAGGCTACAGCCAGACAATAGCCTTGTGCCAAGGCTTTCTGCAGCTCCTCTCCTCCCGCAGGGCGTACCCTGGGATCCGTCCGCACGCCGCTCTCCTTGTGCTGCCCTTAGCTGCTGTTTTCCCAGGCTAAGCACGCCAATTTGCTCCAGCCTTTTTATTTTGTAAGACGAGCCTGCAGCCTCTTTCATCAGTCTCCACAGCCCCTATTTAGCTCTGCCAGCAAAACCAAACAAATTAGGAGAAGGGAGGGGGGGGGTGAAAACACCCCTGAGCTACAGCAGATTTTACTGAAACCTCTTCCCCCATGGAAATTGGCCAAAGGTTCATAATTTGAGGCACAACTGGGGCCACCTCATCTCTGGGGCAGCACTGGCACCCTTGCCCCAGAGGGACACCACACATGTGACAACTCAGGGTGGAAAAACCCTTCACCAAACCCGAGCCCCTCGTGCCATGCCACAGCTTCTCCTGACACGGAGATTTATGCACCTTGTTTGCAGAGAAGTTAATTTTAAGCACAGCAAAGTTGCTCGCCCAAGGTCACAACGTGAGTAAAAAGGATTCCTGCAGCAGGAGCTGAACAAAAGCAGCCAGGCACAGCTACAGTAGTGCAAGGGCTTGTGCTGAGATGCACAGGGTCCCTTATGTCACAGCCAGCAGTGATCCCACAGCACTGATCCATCCTCTGGATCACAGCTACACTGGGCAGAGCAGTCTGTAAAATGTAGCTGCATGGATATAATTGAAGCATGGAGAAGAGAAGGCTTCAGGGAGACCCCATTACAGCCTTCTAGTACCTTAAGGAGGCTTTAAAAGTGGAAAGAGAGGGACTTTTTATATGGGTAGATAGTGACAAGACAAGGGCCAGTGTTTTAAACGGACAGAGAGCAGGGTTAGATTGGATGTTAGGAAGAAAAAGCTTTAATAAGAGAGAGGTGAGACCTGGCACAGAGAAGCTGTGGCTGCCCCTGAATCCCTGGAAGTGTCCAAGGCCAGGTTGGACAGGGCTGGGAGCATCCTAGGAGACAGTGGAAGGTGTCCCTGCCCCTGGGACACCTTCCATCATCTCAATGAGATGATCTTTAGGTTCCCAAACCAGTCAGTGGTTCTATAATTCAATGTATTCAATGCCTGCAGTGCCAGGGCACCCATCATTCCCCTGGTGATGCCAGATTCAGGAGGATTTTACTCATTGCAGTCAAAATGTGTATTTACATTCCTGCCTTCCTGCTCACCCCAGAGTCATTCCACTTATCTACTTGTGTGAGGAGTCACTGGAGTTAAAACTCAGAGCAGTTTAAAAAAAAAAGTAAGCTAAGGATGTTTGCTAAACTGCCACAGTTTGCTTTCTGATATTTTTGACCCTTGTTTTGGTTAAAAAAAAAATGGTTTGGAGAGTTTTGTTGTTGTGGTGGGAAATCTCACTTCCTCTGCATTCTGTGTGTTCTCCTTCCTCCTTTTCCCTTTATTAAAAGGGAAATTTTAAAAGAGAGAAGGAAAATGTCAAGACATGCTTTAGAATAAAATTTTCCTTTCACATGTCACCACATTCCCCTAACTTCAAGGAACATGAAATTTTCTGACAAAGAGCATAGTAGTTATTAAAAGGAAAAAAAAAATTATCAATAAACCCCCTTCAGGAGCACCTGAGCTGTGCTTTTCCAGCAGCACAGGAGCTGGGAGAGCAGCTGTGAGTGGTGTCACATGCGGGGAAAATGTGCCCACAGAGGGCTCAGCAGTGCCTGCAAATGTGAGACACACAAATCTCCATCATTAAGTCACAGACACTGCTTGTGATTGAATTTGTTCCCCTCTCGCCTTTCCAGGAGTTCCCAGCTGTGCCTGCTGACACGGAGGAGGCACAGCCCCACCTGACCGTGCCTCAGTTTCCCCCGCGCTGGGGCTGCTCGGGGCACGAGCAGCGGAAATGCCGGGGCACGGCTGGGCCGTGAGTGATGCTGCGCTAACCACGGGAGCGCGGCGGGGCGAGGCAGCACCTCGGGACCGGGGGCGGTTCGTGTCTCGGGGTCACCTCCACCTGCCCTGGGCTCCGGTGGCTGCAGGGGAGAGGGGCGAGCCTGGCAGGGGCTGCCCGGGACACCCAGAGCCTCTCCTGCTCCCTTGTTACAAGACCAGGCTATCTCTCCGCCCTCAATTCTCTCGCTTTTGCGTTTCCAGCCTCTCCCCGTGCTCCTACTGGGTTTGGCGAGGGCGTGACTCGCGGATCCCACCGCACCCCATCAGGGCAGACACCGAACGGCTGGGATGGAGGGAGAAGTAAAGCCGCTGAGCTTTGTGGAAGCTGACCTTTAGGTTTCTTATTTCTTTCCCTTGAACTAAAATGCACAGATGTGAACTGCCGTGGAGAGGTCCCTGTGCTACCTACACCACTGACAGTATTCCTGTCTACATAAAATCCATTACCCTAATATATTTACATTACACTAAGGTTTATTACCTTTCTAAATAATTTCCCTGCTTCACTCAGTGCCTCACCGCTTCTCAGCTGATTTGCTGGAGGGTAAACTACGTCATCTGATACCAAGAGCAACAACAACAATTACTCATTTGTCTCAGGCTGTCACCTCCCAGCAGCTCAGGCAGAGGTGGTACCGTTCAGCCACACCTCCCTGCACACGGCCTCCCTCCTCGCAGGAGTCCACAGCCAAAGTCCCCTGTCCCCCTTCTGTGGCTTCATCAGGGATCCTGTCCCCCTTCTGTGGCTTCATCAGGAGGCCACAGCCAAAGTCCCCTGTCCCCCTTCTGTGGCTTCATCAGGGATCCTGTCCCCCTTCTGTGGCTTCATCAGGAGGCCACAGCCAAAGCCCCCTGTCCCCCTTCTGTGGGTTCATCTACAAGGCAACTCCCAGGCAGCTTCCCCAAGGGTGGAGTTGGATGTCCCACCAGTGCTGTACAAATCTCTGGGCTCAACATGTGATAGAATTATAGACGGGTTTGGGTTGGGAGGGACCTTAAACACCATCTCATTCCTCTCCCCATTCCACATTTTCCTCCACACCAGGGTGTTCCAAACCCTGTTCAACCTGGCCTTGGACACTTCCAGGGATAGGGCAGCCACAACTTCTCTGGGCAACTCCAGCACAATGTCCTGGGACTCTGCAGCAGCTCCCCACTGCTGCTGGAACTGCACCATCCTATTGGCTTCACCAAGCCTCCCAGACACAAGGGCCACCAGCCCACCACAGCCCAGCCCTTGGGAGGATGAGAGGAGAGCAGGAGGCAACCAGAAACCCCCCACAGCACAGAGCCAGGAGGCACCACTGCTCAGGGGCTCTGCAGGGAGGCCAGGCAGCTGCTTTGGGCTCCATCCCACAGAGGCCTCACCAACTGTACCCCAAGACCGTGCCCCAGGCCTCACCCAAAGAGTAAGAGACTGAAACGTGAGTGGCTCTAACAGCATAACAAATAACATTGGCTTAACCTCACTCTGAGAGCCTGGTGATGGAGTAACTTGGCTGAGGCACCACCAGAGGGACTGCCCTTCACCAGGTGAGAGAAACCCTGCCATGCCATCCCCCAGCAGTTTGTTTCCAACGCTCATCCCCTTTGTGCCAGCATGCACACCTGCTCTCCAGGCCAGCTTTGGCAGCTTCATCCCTTGCTTCTTGTTTTGCTGCTGTCTGA